AACATTTAGTCTGATTTGATGTTACAATTAAAAAAGTGTATCTATTTTTATCTGAAGAGTATGTAAATATCTGGTTTTAACTGTATATTTGATGATGTTGGTGTTTGGTTTGATTGTCAGCACAAAGAGGGAGAGAGAGGAACAGAGAGGGAGAAGGAGAGGAAAATGATTCTCCAATAGTTGATTCTGTTCTTCTGGATGTTACGTTTTGTGGGAGAAACGTTTCGTCACTCATCCAAGTGACTTCTTCAGTCTCAGCTGACTGCAGGTTTCCCCAAATCTTATAAACAGTACATTTGCATAATGACTTAAACCAGCCCACTGAGGGAACAATGGGCTGGGAGGTCAGTTCTTTAATCATAATTATGCAAAAGATAAGAATTTGCATAATTATGATTAAGGAATCTAGTTCTGATTCTGGTTCTGTCTTGGTTAAATCCTAAGTGGTCCTGATTTTGAACTGTTGTAGTCCTGTTTTAATTCCGGATCAGTTCTGGGTCTGGTTGAATTGGGGTTTAGTCCTCGTGTCTTGATACAGCCCTGATTTTGTTCTGCCTTGCTGCTTAATTAAAAAAAATAGTTTAAGGTGTCCTGCATATGTGGTATATATTTTTCCCTATATGAAGTCATTCTTTTTTGAACAAAACCCAAAACAGAGCCTATTAATCTTTCAGTCATTTCTAAACCCCCCCTCCGAAATCCCACATACATACTACCCTTTAGGGCTAAGACCCGGGTGTATCAAATGTCTGCCTCCGCCTCTGTCCTTAACCACTTTAATGTTTCAGGGTTTCCTTGAACAGACTCAGGAATTAAACAATATTAAAACACATGACAGTTACTGAAATTGTCTAAAATGTAGGTTCAGGTAGAATAGAAAAGTACTATATAAGAACTAGTCCATCTACGATTTACCGAAACTGTTTCCAATTCCTTCTCTATGGGAGTCCTAAACCACTACGGATGTAATATATTTTTGTCCACTATTGTCTTCTGGCGCTGTTTCAACTTTATACATGATACGTTCATTATGGTTGTTTTGGAAGAGGTTTTATCTCTTTCGTTGACGATAGAGAACTTTGCGTTGAGGCTATTTGCACGTAAAACTTGATACACATTAGGCGTGCACAACTTGACGTATCAAAACGAGGGAAACAGCGATGCTATCACGCTGAAGACATAGTTGGGTCACGATCGGTACTGCAACATACGCGTCCGAAGACACCTTCCTCGTTAGTATAGTGGTGAGTATCCCCGCCTGTCACGCGGGAGACCGGGGTTCGATTCCCCGACGGGGAGGCAATAACTTTTTATTCTTAATGTTAAACGTCAGGCTGTGACGTCCTTGGGAACGTCCTTAACCAGTGGCGGAGCGGGGTGGCTTACTGGGCTTAAGCCCGGGTTGTTTTTTCAGAAGCCCGGGGTCTTTTGGAGTGTAATTTTGATGTGGGATTTGGGGGGGTAGAAATGACTGAAAGATTAATAGGCTCTGTTTTGAGTTTTGTTCAAAAAAGAATGACTTCATATAGGGAAAAATATATATCACATGCAGGACACCTTAAACTAGTTTTTTAATTAAGCAGCAAGGCAGAACAAAATCAGGGCTGTATCAAGACACGAGGACTAAACCCCAATTCAACCAGACCCAGAACTGATCCGGAATTAAAACAGGACTACAACAGTTCAAAATCAGGACCACTTAGGATTTAACCAAGACAGAACCAGAATCAGAACTAGATTCCTTAATCATAATTATGCAAATTCTCATCTTTTGCATAATTATGATTAAAGAACTGACCTCCCAGCCCATTGTTCCCTCAGTGGGCTGGTTTAAGTCATTATGCAAATGTACTGTTTATAAGATTTGGGGAAACCTGCAGTCAGCTGAGACTGAAGAAGTCACTTGGATGAGTGACGAAACGTTTCTCCCACAAAACGTAACATCCAGAAGAACAGAATCAACTATTGGAGAATCATTCTCCTCTCCTTCTCCCTCTCTGTTCCTCTCTCTCCCTCTTTGTGCTGACAATCAAGCCAAACACCAACATCATCAAATATACAGTTGAAAACCAGATATTTACATACTCTTCAGATAAAAAACACTTTTTTAATTGTAACATCAAATCAGACTAAATGTTTATTTTTTAGATTGATAAATATAAAAAACATATTTGTTAACTTTAAGAGTAAAGAGAGAAACTATCTGTATTTCTTAATTGTAAATGGCACCAAATTGTATTCAAACTGAGCCACACTTATGGAGCTCCACAGTTCTTTTCCTGGTGTTTTGGTTGACATCTCTTGATTTTCCCATTTCAAAGAAACAGGCTCTGTGTTTTGCCTTATATGCATCCACAGCTGTGCCACCAGTTTACTCACATGGACTCTACTAACCTATCAGAAGCTTCTTCAGCTCAGAATGGAATCGTCTGGAGTTTTCTTATTAATTAACAATAAACTTAGTGTACATGTACTCCTAAATTTGATGAAAGTGATAAAAAATAGACAGCTCTGTCTCTCTTTATTCTGACATTTAACTAATTCAAAAGATATTTCAATATTTATTTATCCAAAACAAAACAAGTTTACTCTAAATTGATGTTGTACAGTAAAAAAATGTTCTTGTGTTTTCCATAAAGTGTATGTAAATATCTGGTTTAAACTGTGAATATACTGCTGTGTATTGAAAGTTCCTCTTGTTTTGCATAGAAATATACTGAACAACATACAAAGCATAATATATAAAATAACATCTACCAGAGTTTTTTCTTTGAAAGAAGCCCCTTATGTCCATTCTTGTATATCAGTACATTACTGAAACCGATTTATTTAGCCGTGGAGGGTAACAACTGAAAATATGAAATAAACACACATGTAAGCTAAGACTCTCTAAAGAAACAGCATTGTTGTTGTTCGGCTTTTCATTTCGCCATTTGTTGATTCACTCGAAGAGCAAGTAACGTAATATGGGTCAAGTGATCAGTTTGACTATCAATCTTTTGTGATACACCGTCATATTTACATTATTTGTACAGTACGAATGATTTGCTTTGGTACCTGGTCAAACTTCAGTTCTCCTCTGTCTGCCTGGCTGCGCTTCTCCAACAGCGCACTCGCAGTGCTTCAAATATTGTGTGTAGTTTTTGTTTTATACAGTTGTCAGCCAGGCATCTAACTATGAAAAAAATACACTCCAAAAGACCCCGGGCTTCTGAAAAAACAACCCGGGCTTAAGCCCAGTAAGCCACCCCCCGCTCCGCCACTGGTTAAGGACCTTCCCAAGGATGTCACAGTCTGACTTTCAACATTATGAATGAAAACGTATTGCCTCCCCGTCAGGGAATCGAACCCCAGTTTCCCGCGTGACAGGCGGGGATATTCACCACCAAACATGACTGTATAAATTTGCAACAGCGCCAGAAGACTATAGTGGACAAAGAATATATTACATTCGTAGTGGTTTAGGACTCCCATAGAGAATGAATTGGAAAGTTCGGGACCGTTTAGGTACATGGAAGATGGACCCGTTCATATTAGGGGTGTGTTTAAATAATCGATTTTCCCATTTAAATCAATTTTAGCTTGAATAACGCCATATCGATTCATTGAATCCTGAATCAATTTTTAAATACAAATCTACTTTTCCAGAAACGCCTGAACATACACAGACCTTCAGTGCTGAAAGCCTACAGCACACAGATTCTGAAGCTGCAGGTTTTGTCACTCTCCAACCAAAATTCACTGAACAAACAGCAAAAGAAGATCAAAACTAGGCTTCAGGTTTGATAAACATCGTCATTAATTCCCTTTTATTTTTGCTGATTTGCTTCCACCACGATCGCACATCCTGCATCGCTCTCTCTCTCTCTCTTCAAGAACAGTTTCCCATCTCAAATCTGTTTTCTGTATTATTCGCTTGCTTATTATGCATCAGTCTATCGTGGCGTGCAGTGCTGTCCCGCTGTTTTTTTTAAAATGACCTCGGACACGAAAGCATCATTTTTACTGTTCAACACTGGAGAAATTTAAACTTTTTAAAATATGCCAAATTGCAAAACGCTTACCTGTGTCTGTAATAAAACATCTTTGACTTTGCTCTGCTTCACTTCAGCAGCATCGGGTAATGATCATATTGAGCGAAATGCTGCGTCAGACAGCTTCTTTTATGTTAGACTTAACAAAGGAAACTAATAAACACCATACACCAGCTTTCTTTACACAGAAATTGCTGCAGAGGTTTCCATCATTAAAAAGCGTTACTGTCATTTCCTCTCTGTTAACTGTATTGCCATCTCCTTTAAAGACAAACTGATAAAAATATGGTGTATCCACTGATGAAAGCTTAGCAACTAAGAGGAGGTAGAGAAAGACAAAGAGGGACATGGTCGCAGTTGTTTTTAATGTAAGCACATGAGATGGACAAACTTCATATTAACAACACACACCAAAGAAAAATCTGACATGATGAAATGAAAAATTATGGCCTGTAAACATGAAACAAATTCATTCATTGCATTGTTCTTCAGTAATTTTGTTTTTTCCCCTCTCAGTCTATCAAAAATGAGTGCAGACAGTGTGCAAGCATAAAAAAAAAAAAAAAAAAAAAGTAACAGGAAACATAATTACTGGAAAATGTCTATATCATAGGCATAAACAGAGTGAGTGAACAATTGGCTCTGTATTTAAAAAATATAGAATTGCTAAAAAAAAAAAAAGAAAAAGTAATGCACATTGGAAAAAACCCCAAACAAACAAAAAAAGCCAGTACCGAAAAAAAATTAACAATCCACACTCAAACGACGACAGCGCACCACTCAGCGTTGTAGCCCTTCTCCCGAAGCAGCCTCACGCAGGAGCAATGACACACTCCTGACTAATCCATTGAATTGGAGGCACAAAACAGCCTCCTCTTTCCTCCTCTTCATCGTCCACCCGTCCGATGCTGCACCTTTCCAAAGGTTAATGCAGCCATACAGAATGTGCAGACCACTAGAGACCAGCATGTGTGCCTGTATCGAGAGAGAGAGAGACTACTCATTTTTGAGCTGCTGTCGACCTTACGCTGTGCTTTGGGTTTTAAACACACACCTCAGGGGGTTTTGGGGCCAGAGGCAGACGGAGCCTCTTGTGGTTCTGTCTGTTCAGATGGAGCAGAGTTCAAACTTGAGGTGCTTTCCTCCTTCCTGTCCCCTGACAGAAAGTCGTGGATGGCTGTTTCTATGTGCGGTCGGAAAGTGTGGTTCATCTTGGGGTCCACGACCTGAGTTATGATCCTGTCCACACCAGACTCCAGCATGCCCGATCTTAAAATACATAAATAAATTATGGCTGAGTGCATGGTCGTGCAAAAGTCTTCAGTCACTTCCTCATTTCTTTATATTTTGCTAGGAAAATGGGAAATAGATACACCAATTTATTGAAGCATGTGTAAACATAAACTGAAATACAATGTTTAACACAAAAACCCAAAAAGTGAGTACTTCAAAAACAGATCATTTCTTTATTTTATATATAACCTGTTCACTACAGTCTTTTTACTAATTTACGTAAAGAAATTAGATGTAAAAAAACCCCAAAAACCAACATGTGAGTGTGCACTGCAGTAGTGCTGTCGTGGAAGGAAAGCTCTGGTTTGCACAGTCTGCATTTAACTTTATTTGTTTTATTCATCCTGTTTTGTGGTTGGCGCTACGTTCTTCTTCATTAATATTGACCGCAGTCTTGGCAGACGACATAGGCGATAAGCCCTCATACCTCCCTGTAGTGTGTTGCAGTTACAAAAACACATTTATGTGGTTTTAGTGTATGACACGTCAACAGTGAAATTCCACATCAACTAATTTTTATAGGTGACATTGTCAATTGTGTTAATTAACCCTATTATCAGGCAGACAACTGAAAATCAATGCTGTTCATGTGCTGTAGATAGTTTTTAAGGCTTGCAACTCATTCAGTGTCCTCATATTTTTAAGGACACACTGCACACCATGCTGAGCTACACCAATTTTTCAGCTAATGACTGTTTGGCAGTCAGCTTGTTGGTGCAAAAATAACATTTTATGTCTGTCAAACTGCATTATCTTTGACATTTTTCATAGATTAAACTAAAGAAACCGGAACAGATGATATGCCAAAAGATACAGTTTTTGTCTGTTACGTGTCAACAAGAAAGATTCATTCCTTGAGTTAGGTGCCCATTTTTTCCTTGAAGGATTCATAAGCCAGTGTTACATAGCTTAACAAACAAAACAATAGTCAGGTACAAAGGCTGGACTAAAAACGAGTGAAAAAGCAGCAAATGTTCAAAGAAAAACTTTGAAAGACCTTCTGAAAGCCTGCAGAACTATTGGTAAACGAAAAAAAGCTCCTTGGAAGTCTGGCTCCTTGGAAGCTCACATGTGTAGTACATTCTAAACAGGAGCTGAAAGGTTGCAAAAAGCTCAAAGGAAACACTCACTGGACAACGCTTTGCCTCAGTCCGTTCCTCATCTGGTTCTTGTTGATGGACGGGTTCCAGTTCTGCGTGCTCAGGTGCGATGTGACGAAGTTGTCCACTTTCTGTCGCAGGTTCTGATAGGCCGGCTGACAACAACAACAGCGCGGTAAATATGCAGCAATAGCGCACACTAAGTAACGGAGTACACTGTGCGTTGAAAGTATACTGTAGTATACTGTAGCCAGCTAAAAAGACACTCGGATAGATTTAGGACAGTTAAAGTGGCACTGACACGGATAACTTTGTTTGTGTCAGGTTAGCTAAAGTTAAACACAAACAAAGCAGAGTTAGTAGATTACCTTTGTATCGACGTCGGCTAAACAGTCCCGACGGAACTCATCAAAAAGACCCCGGTTTTTCAGATGCTCCACAATCATCCCGATGAGCTGCGGGTCTCCCGGTGGGAGGTTGGCCGGATTGACGTTAACATTACCGCTTCCCTCGGCCATGCCAAACCCAGGAGACTATTTTATTACTTACCTGTTAGCTGCATTGAACTAGCCAACCACTTAACTATCCACACTAGTTATTCTACAAGACGTACGTTCGATTCATTGCCTTCGAACAAACTGCGGGCAAAGTGATCGTTAGTCTTGCTGAACAGCAGACGCTCTTTTAAAAAAGGTAGAAGCAGAAGTGCAAATCGAATGCCTCCTTTTCCCCCTTGTCTTCCACGCATGCGCACAAGTGGCATAACCTCGGATGTACTTCGTTTTAGTGCCGTTGTTACTAACTGAGGGTAAATCAAAACGTTAGCGGGTTGCGCTGAAACGTTCATTTAGAAATAAAAAAAAGAATAATTATAACACATTCAAAGCACAAAGCTGGTTCTGTGGCGGGGGTCTGACTAAGATAATCTGCACCGTTAACTTTCGCACCAGCCAGAGCTCACTGTGCCTGGACTATCGCTGTGAAAGGTAACGCTAGCCATGCTGGCTAACATCAACACACTTAATCTAAGTGTTAATCACGGACATAAAAATATAGCAGAGGTGAATGACCGAATTAACCCGATATTAACTCAGATACAGCCCCCTTTTGAAGACGGGCTGTAGGTTTTAGCTCACATTGAGTCCAGCTGTCGGTTGTTATCCTTGACATTGTGAAGGATTAAAGCAGCTGGCTGACATTTTCGGCAGTTACAGTATAGTAACAATGATGGTACTCATGTGATTAGTTGGCTAGTGGCAGTTAGATGGGTGAGTAATATCCAGATTATGAACCTGTGCAAGACTCCAGAGCAGGATATTAAATCCAGGCTATTTCGGTGTGATAAAGTTGTCATACAGTGTCTCTCTATATGTCTGAACATGGTAATCTAATGTGTCACTTTCTTGTCGTAGATGAGTGGCAAATCAGATCCCAACAAAGAGTTTATGGAGCAGCTGCGGCTGCAAGAGCTCTATGATCAGAGAAATGAAGATGGCTCAGACCCATACACCTACACCGATCCAGAGGATGGGACTGTGTATGACTGGGATCATGAAAAGAAGGCCTGGTTTCCCAAAGTACAAGCTTTCTTTGACTCTCAGCTTTTCTTTCTTAAGCTTTTTTTTAGTCTACATTGAATTGAAGCAGCTTTACCTTATAAATACAGTCAAAAACTTGCTGTTGCTCTTGGGATCATTTTCCTGTTGCATGACCCCATTCTGGCCATGCTTCAGCTGTTGGAGAGATGTTAGTACAGTACAGGGTATTGCACTGACCTGTGGAGTGTTGGTATTTGATACAGAAACTATATTGTTATAGTTTTCTTACTTGGCTATTGGAAGTGTGTAGTTTTCTTTTTTATATAGCATAAAAGCGCTGACTAGTAAAATTAAAGTGAAAAAACAAAGTTATCATTTATTTTATGATAACAGCTTTTATTAGATGTGTCAAAATTGGTCCGAGTTGATTTCTGTGTCAATATTAAGTAGGTTTGATTTGTTCCTCTAGATAACAGAGGACTTCATGGCAGCCTACCAGGCCAACTATGGCTTCACTGAGAAATCGGCTCCGGATGGAAAGAACGCTTCCCTGACCAGCACCAACCCAGCAGCACCCGGGTCTGACAGCAAACCACCACAAAAACCAACAGAAAAGGAGAAACCAGAAGATCCCGGCCCAAACTCGGCCTCAGAGCAGCATGAGACGCCAGGCAAAGAAACCAAACAGAAAGGGGAGAAGAGGAAAGCTGAGCAAGGTAAACTGGCATCCAATCACACACACACACACACACACA